CACATAACAGCTCTACTCACATTGAGTTTTATTCAATTTAAAAAATGCAACCTCAATTTTGTGATTTTTGTGATTTTTGTGAGCTTGCAGAAAAAGACATTTTTTCAACTACTGCTGCATGCTGTATTGTTGTGCATTTGATAAATAAACTTTGATTTGATTTGATTTTTTATTTGATTCCTATACTCAGCTCATTTTCCACGCCTCTGGGTATAGTTACTGTATGACTTCCATCTGAGGATGTACATTGCAACTATTGTTTATACTGCAGAAGAGCTACTTACTGTCCTCAGTGATATGGCATTCTGTTTGTAAAGTTTCATGTTCAGCTACTAAAAGATTCACTTTATGTGCTTTCCTCTCAAAGTCCTAAGAATCAGGGGGTTTGATGCTGTTTCTGAGCTCTATTCCCACGTACACTTGAGGTTGGATGAGTTTTTGACTTATGTTGGCTTCCATCTTCTTGCAAAGCTGGGACAGCTTTATGGAAAAGTTACCCAGCAGGATAAAGCAAAATCTACTGGTCTACTGTGAGAAGGTGACAAAGATGTGTTATTGAACTAGCCACAATGAAAACAAGCCCTTTAGACAATAACATCATAAGAACAAGAACTTCACTACCATCACTGGCACAGAGCTATCATCACAGGCATAAGTCAGGCAATACAGAGCAAATACCATTACCATGAAAAATGAGTTGTTCAAGTGCATTTAAAGGGGTTCCGGTCAGTGAATCAACAAAACCACACTAAAAAAACATATAATAACTGACAACATAGAATAATTAAATTATTAATATGTGCAAAACCATGAAAACACACTTTTCGAGATCCCTAAGGATTCAGGGAGTAAAAAAGTACATTTATTAAACGGGGGATAACTTGAGGAAACCATCGCCATAGTTGGTGTCCACTGCAGAAATATGAATGTGAATTTAGTCCAGCCAAACTAATTCTGACGGGCCAGAGAAGGTTGAAAGATGCCCAAAAGTTTTCGGTGCACTCAACAGCGTATTACTGCCTAGCTTTGATGCAGAGAAGCCTTCCGTGCAGAGAAATATACCAAGTAGGGGATTAAAAAGGGGTCATCATGTTACTGATGACGAACCTACAGAAAATATTAAACTTTCTCCTATCATACCAAACTATTCTGTCTGATCCTGCCTTATCTTGCCTTATCTAATATTATAATTAGTAACTTAATAAGCCTACACTCATGTTAATTGAAATTACTCAAACCATAGGTAACGACAACAATGTTTTCAATTGACGTATCACCACAATATTATTTTATTTTTTCAATGTGGGTTTTTTCTTTTTAATTTTATTGTGCCATTGCAAATTCATATTGCCAGGTGTCCCAAAAGCAGTAAAGATTTTAGGGAAAACAGTATGATTGGGCTGCCCCACCTGGATGACGCAACAGCAGCCAGAACACTCACCACACATCACCTTTTAGTGGGGAGGAGAACAGAGCCATAGTGGAGATATAAAAGAACAGAGCCAATTCATAGATGGGGATTATTAGGAGGCCATGACTGGTAAAGGCCAATGAGAACTTTGGCCAGGACGCCAGGGTTACACCCCTACTCTTTTCGAGAAACACCCTGGGATTTTTAATGACCACAGAGAGCCAGGACTTCGGTTTTACGTCTCATCCGAAAGACTGCACTTTTCTACAGTATAGTGTCCCCGTCACTATACTGGGGTATCAGTACTGTCACAAACCGCAGGGTAAGCGCCCTCCTGCTAGCCCCACTAACACCTCTTCCAGCAGCAACCTTAGTACCCATCCAGGTACTGCCAGTTGTGAGTTGCAGGTTGATATGGCAATTCCAAATTTGGAGGCAGGACATAAAATCATAAAATAACTAGCACTTCCAAATAATGAAAAAATAATCAAAAGTGCTATAAATACAGCAGAAATACAGAACACGGAAAAAAGTCATTAACTGTACAAAATGTTGTCATGGGAAACTATGTAATTACTTTCTCGAATGACAGAAGGGGCCAACAGGAGACTGAAAAAGCACCATAAAGCCTTTAATTAAAGCGCTGCCCAATGGACGCCAGACTCATGATGAAAGTCTCAGTGAAGAATTATACAAGCTGATAATAAAGCCGCACTGAAGCTGACTGGCCTTTCTGTCAGCAGTGATTCATTGTACCATCCTACCCATTCCACCCTCTCAACCAGAGATGAGAGACTCAGTTTGTTGATCCTACCATCCCTAACTGTGAGATACTTTATCTATCAATCAAGCTCATTTTTTAAAGAGACTGCTATCAATTGCACTGCTATAAAGTAGCCAACTTAATTTTCTGTAGAGTGGATACCTATTTATTACAAATGAGGGAGATATAAAAGAACTGATTTCGGAGCCTTATTTGAAGATTAATTTCCTGATAGCTATTTAATGAGTTCCTTGTGATCAGTTAGGACTTGAAGAACTAAAATAAAATCTGCATTGCCAGAAAAAGACATCTGAATGACTTAAAATGTCTAGATGGCCCTAGGAAGTTTTCAAGAAGTAAAATGTCAGTGTAACAAAAACGTTATATCCTGTCAGGCAGTCAGAAAAATAACCATGTGCAAACAGCATATTCACAGCATATTAACATTTCTACAGTTTTTTAGAACAAATTAATGTCTGCTGCCCTGGGGGTTGTACTGATACTCCACTATTGTAAAACCCACACAAGTGCACGTGTGGGTTATTGGCTCTGTGTGAAAAATGGAGCAAGAGGGCAAAGACTGATTGGCACTATTTCCCCTAAGGAAATCTATTATGAAAATAACCTTCTATTTTTATTCAATCTTGCAACTGATACACATTCTGAGCTGCAAGATGCAGATGCATTTCATAAGCAAATAGCAACTGACAGACCTTGTCGAAAAGAGGAGAATAAACTATCAGTAATTTACAGAAACCTTATATGGAATTTGCTGGTTGTATTGGAAATATAACAAAAAGCAGAGCATTTAAAGAAAATACTACAGCTTGTTGACTAACCTTTCATGAGATAAAACCATGAAAACAAAATCTGTACTGTTTACAGTGAATTACACTATTAAATCAAGAAAGTGTCAATGGAAGCTGACATAGTCTAAAATGAAAAAGGGTAATGTTTTGGACAAAATCACATGGCTGGTTGCCTGCATACTGTATACATATAGATAATCTTCTTATGAACCTCCCTTTTTGAAAATCTCTGAAATGGGGCAAATTAAACAGCTGCTGGTGGAGTTAGGATTGTGGTGAACTGATGGTGTTGTGTACATTTCTTAAATTAGCAGAATTAATGTCTATCAGATCAGTGTGCAGCCTAAGGTCTTCTGCCTGTCCTCTCCAATATTTTGGAGCTTTATAAAAAAGCTGGAGTTGGGAGAGTTGTTCCAATAACAGCTTTTGTTGCACTGTTCTTCATAAGCCTTGGGTCTGGCAGACTGGATGTTTGCTTTTTCTATCCTAAATTTGTATTAATAAAAGGATCTTGCATCTTTGCATTGAGTGATAAACACGGATTTGAAAAATTATGCTTGTACAAATGTCATGACCTACAAAATTAAACCGTATACAAACTGCAGGTTCAAATTCTCCCTATATACCACAGCCTTATTTAATACTTTTGTTGAAAAATTGGAACTCCATCCACCACACTATGCACGCATCACACCTAAGTGCTGCTCCATCCTTACACTATCATGTTCAGCTTTCTCTATAAAGAAGTTATCCAACTTTTTCAACACAGGGAAATTACCCACTGCTGTGTGGTAGTCATTTCAAGAAAGTTTGATACCCTGCTGGCAAAGAAACAGCCTCAGCAATCCCTTCCCCTGACTCTCACACTGATCTCCTCTGGTGCACAGGTCCACTCTCTGCCTCTCTTTCACTGTATTTCAGACCACACAATGGTGTTTCAAACTAGCAAAGCCGCACAGAAAATTCTGCATCTAACTTGGATTGTTCTACATGAAGGTTTAACCTGTCTGTCTCATAAGTAATCAAAGAATAAAAAATGACACGTCTGTATATAAGCATTTCCCACTGAAAATAAAACAGGACTATGTAGATCATCAGGGAAAAAACAAAACACAAAAGTTTTCCAAAGCTTATTTTACGTTTTTTTTTCCAATCATAAGAGCTCATAAAGGTTTATCCTGATAAAACTGATAAAAACCAAACATGTACCCAAAATTATATGAACGAATATAAATATATATATGAACCAAGATGCATACAATGATACAAATAGGTTCAGAATTGTTGATGTGAATAAGTTCAGAAGAGATAATTTTAAAGACTCTATTACACTTACCTTTGATGTGAAAGTAAGAGCAGTAGTGGCTCAAGACAACTGAGTAAGGATCACAACCTACGTTTATCATATAAAATTAACCTATATTTAATTACAGTCAGAAGGTCCCCTTCAAGGCTTCCTGCCCATCATTGAGCCCTGGCTCCAGGTCTTCAACATGATAATTAAACAAGTGACCTGGGACCTTAATTCACTTTGGCATTCCTAGTTAGAGCATTTCACTCTCAATTCAATATCCTCTAAAAATTGGCTTCATTACTCTGCTCTCCTCCCCACTGAGAGCTGGTGTATGGTGAGTGTTCTGGCGCACTATGGCTGCCGTCGCATCATCCAGGTGGGGCTGCACATTGGTGGTGGTGGAAGGGAGTCCCCATTACCTGTAAAGCGCTTTGAGTGGAGTGTCGAGAAAAGCGCTATATAAGTGTAAGCAATTATTATTATAATTATTATTATTATTATTGTTAGCCAGGTTATTAAATCAGTTAGAATTCAGGAGAAAGATATTTAATTCAGAACTTTTGACTTGCCCACAAGCCTCCCCTGGTTGTAAAACTCTCCTGTCCTATCAGCCAAGGTAGGCTTAAAATTGGTCAGCCATACGAGTGGCTGGAATCTCTGGAATAAATTAATCTGGAGCCATTGCTCTCTAGGGATAATCCTTCAAATGCTGAAATTACTTACACACTTCCTGTTGCAGAACTGCTGTCTGTGGGCAAAGAACCATTTGACCTCTCCATCTGTGCCAATCTAAGAAGAAGCACAGATTATTAAACAGGAATAAACAAACTTTAAAAAATACAGCCAATGTTATTTTAACAAGGCTCTGAAGGTTGCATGGTAATTTCAAGCTATTTATTTTATTTTTATAGCTGTTGCTGCTTGGTTTTAATTTGATAACTGGGAAATGGCATTCATAAAAAGCAGTGAAACGCAAAAAATGTCTCTAAAAACGCATGATGTAAATTAAAATGCAAAACATTTAGGCTGTCTTGAGATTTCACAAAACTCAAATGTCCTTATTAATAGGTTGGTGTATGTAAAAAAAGTCTCTGGAAACTGAAACTGGAAAAGGGGGCTGCATCAGAGACGGGATGACATCCGTATTACAAATTCAGATCTGTTATACACAAATAACTGAAGCTGTTGAATATACAGTAGATAGTGAGGGATTATGGAAAAAATAGCACTGGAAGTAAGAATAGCACAGGCTTCCAGAGCTGCTTCAGTAATTGCGTCAAACAACCTCAATTGCTGTTCCTGTCTGAACTGGTTTTTGAATAATCTCTAGTATTTTGTATTTTAAAGCAATATAAATATATTGCTTTATACTTTAAATTATATACAGTACAATATTAGGATTTAAAATGATTATTTTTTTAGAAGACAGGGTGACAACAATATATTGCACTTTACTTATTCACAAGGACTCAGTCAACTCCAATACTTTGGTCAAAAGACACAAACAAGATCTGTTATATAACATTTGTTATGATAAGTTACATGTATCACAAATTTTACACTTGCGCATTAAGCAAAAGGCGAATTTCAAAATAAAAAACAAAGAAGAACTGTGAACATCACTAAACACTTATGAAAAGATTCAATGAACAACTTGCACATTGGAACCATACTGGGTCATGAAATGGAAATAAACTTCTCAGTCTGTGGTAAATGATCTGTTATTTGCACACTCTTTCAGAATGCTAAAAATGCCACTTCTTGATTATGTGTCAAAGTAATGTGAAAGATACATTTAGGATGCTAGCAAGAAAGGCAAAAGACAGAAACTGTTAAAATGGCAAATACCTGCTTGCATAATGCTCTATCCTGGAATGAGTGTCATCATAAGAATGTTGTGGAGACTGAGAGAGTCTGCAGGCAAACAACAGAAAAAACACACAGTAAATGACACCTTAAAGACATCAAGCAATTTTCCAGAGCAAAACACTCTACAGCATATGATCTATTAGGCAGCCAGTGTTATTTCTAACCTACAGAAAAGTTTTAAAGAAAAGTGTGAAAGATAAACATCAGCAGTGTGGGAAGCATAGCCAGCATGCTGTGTAGAGGGGCGTTGCATATACTCACTCATACTGCTCCGGACACATGCTGATGAGCGTGACAGGACTGCAAGAGAAACGGTGGGAAACCACAGAACATCTTTAGGGCAACTTTACAAACAGATCAGAGAGTCAAGAACAGAAGCAAGCGTGGAAGAAATGGCTCTGTCTGCCCAGCTGGGCCGAGTGCCAGCACGGCCCACCAGAGAGCTGGCAGCTAGGACTGCACTGCCTGGGGCTGCCCCACTTTACTGTACAGGAGCACAAAGGTCACCTAAATAGACTGAAAGCCATCTGCTAGTATTGACTTGAGTCGGACGAAGAAATGTGTAAGAGCACAGGGATCTGGGGTTTGATCCCAATGCTATTTTTAGTCTTTTAAGTAGTGTATTTATTTTCTTTTACTTGCTTTTGAATCTGAATACAATTGAAGACAGCTGATCAGCTTCATACTATCAATGCATACTGGGACATATTTAATTTGTAAAACAACATTTGGGTAATGTGTCAATCAAGATGGGAATGTGACTTGCTTATTCAGAACCCCCATCAACTGCTTTTTCTAAGGAACTGATGCAACAGATGATAGAATCTTGGCAGACTTAGACAAAAACAAATATCTTTATAATTTTGCACCTATATATTTTATAATTTTATTAAGTGCTGCATGCCATACATATTTCTCTTACTCAATTTGGTAAATTAACTTCAAACGTTAGAAATATAATTCTTGTACTAATGGGATGAATATACATAAAAACTGGTTTCTTGTGTAAATGAAGATTGCTGTTTGACCTCCATTTCTTTTTCTTTACTGTTACTATGCAACCATTAACACCATCTCCTGCTGCTTATAAAAAACATTTGGCCAATTAGCTGAAAACAGCAGGTATGTTTCTAGTGACAATAAAGTTAACCAAAATGCTTTACTACAATTTTGATCACAAAATTGAAACTACCACTGACTTGGGAACCTACAGATTTGAAAATTGGGATCCATCACTTACAGACATGCTTCAGATTTGCCTCATAGACTACAACAATATTTTATGCACTATTGTGTCATGTCCTCAGCTGCTTTTTGTAATGTGCCTTGTAAGGCTAGTTTTTCTTTAAAAAAATGTTAAATTAACCCCAAACATGGTATGTATCACTTTTTCTCAATCACCACCTTTATGTTCTCTTACTGATCTGCATTTCATACCACACACTGCTCATTCTAATGATGGTGTAATTAAAATTCACCAATATGGTGAATTATTAATATGGGGCTCTTGTTTAAATCTAGATGGCTGAACCCCATTTCAATTGAATTGAATCTGTTTAAAATTGTTAAAATTGAATCTACCAGTGATGTAGGAACCACTGACCTTGACCTTGCAAGGTTTCATCACACTAAAACCTGCTTCTGACGTATCCCTCAGATACAGAGCAACACCCTTAATGGGTCATGACCTGCTACGCAAAACATGCCTTGTACCCCTAACTGCAAAATTTAAACTGGTTGAGTATCTCCATTCACTTATTTTCAGCAGTCTCTTCAACCCATTTTATCATTAAAAACTGTCATTGTAACCAATGGTTCACCAGACCACTCTACTTACTTAATGCATGCACTTTCATCATAAGTGCAATGCTTTCAATGATTCAAGCAAATGTAATTAAGGAAGGGAGGATACTGGTTTTTATTGTGACTGATATACAGCAAGGGGACTGAATCTCTTTTTAAACATCTGAAATCGAAATTTGTGATCAGGAGTAGAGGAGGAAATGTGATTAGTTGAGCCTACATTATGATCCTATAATTGAAATTTAAACTGTTGAACATGCCTGGCATGATCAATAACCGCCATTAACATAATACCTTTTGTAAGTAATTCCACATACTAAACACTAAATGCCTTGTTTATTCACCTGTAGCAAAGAACATATTTCGACTACTAAAGAACGTTAGTACTACAACAAGCTGTACAGGTTAGTCATCCGGTTATTTCAAGAAGCAGCATGTCCACATTATTATTACAGCAATTTGTTTAGCAATTCAGATAAATACTGTACAAATGGATCACTAAACAAGGCATCTTATTGTTAGTATGCATTTCATGGGCAATAGGATTCTACCAAGGAGAATGTTTAATTTCAGCACTGCATGCATAATTCTCCAATTTAGAAACCTGTGTTCCTGTAAACTTGCAGAGAATTACTTGGCTTCAAGGCATTAACAGATCTGCGGTAGGATTTTCAGGAGAGTACAAAAATATCAAAAAACTAATCTGAGGTATTGTGCCACTGGCAAAAAAGAATGTTATTTTCAATTTCTCTGTTTATGACAGATGTCATTTAATGGAATATCTGTATCTGCATGAACTCTGGTGAATAAAAGGAAAAAAGTAAGGAAAGAGAGAATGTTCTAATAAATACAATATAGATGGGACAGGTCAAAGCAACACTGATTATTCAAGTGGCTAAGTCGTACAAATCACCATCAATGGAAACAACGTTAAGGCTGCTGAAGCTTTCCTGAGCAAACAAAATCCAACATGTGAATTTATAAGCTAAACTGGATTAATGAATAAGCTTCAATCCTAAGAGTGCTTATTTTCCTTGTCTACATCGATCCACTTTCACGAGGGGTCACGGGGGAGCCAGAGTCTATACCAACAAGCATAGGGCCTAATGCAGGGTACACCCTTGGATGGGATACATGTCCATCATTGGGCAGATGGACACAGACACACATACTCACACCTAAGCCCAATTTTCAGAGAAGCTAATTAATCTACCAGCATGTTTTTGGACTGTTGGAAAAAACTGGAACACCCAGAGGGAAACCACACGAACACAGGAAGAACATATAACTCCACACAGGTCTGGAATTTAGCTCAGGGCCCCAGTGCTGTGAGGCAGCAATGCTAACCACTGCACCGCTGTTCAAACCCTTTGTCTACATAACCTGATCAATTAAAACAGTTTAACATGTACTTACACACCATTAGGCTTTTATTTTCTGTAGCCTTACACAGAATAAAATCAGTGGTAAAACATCTATATTAAATGCCAGTCCTCTTTCTATCCCTTTTTGCAGGGAAAATAGCTTTACTTTCTGTGAGAAATATTTTTAAAAAATATTCTTAGGAAAAATATGCTGCATAAATGTATCATTCTCTGGTGTCTTTTAATATAAGACATGTTTAAATACACAGAGCATCATTCTCCTATTCACACTGTCACACTGCAGGTCTTCAATAATGGAATTTATTGGATAAAAATGAAAAAAGATAAAAATGCTAATTACGGAATTACTGGAAGAGTGGGGTGACATCTAAAAGCTGTTTGGTACACACGCAGGGAGTTTCCAAGAGATAAAGCTGCCTGAATTGCAGAGAGAAAAAGCCAGGGCTCTGACCACAGCACATTCTGGCATGTCGTGAATAGTGTTAAAGAGACACTGTTCACAACCCCACATACTTCAGCCAAAAGTCTCATTACTCTGATCACCTTATTAGATCATTTTCTCTAGAGTCTGCATTGCAACAGAAATTAGATGACCAAATGGAAGTTTTAAATCTGGAAGATGGCTTTTAAGCACAGTCATTTCTTCCCATTACTTGCTCTGTATAACGATTTGCGTGAAAGCACTGGCCCTGTGCCCTGCTCATGTGTCTCTACAGCAATTTTCACTTCCATACTTGAGTGAAAATTAACAGATCATGCACCTAGGTACCCACTTGTACCTATTTACTGTCAATAAATCAGGACCAAAAAAAGATAGGAACGCTTGGGAAATGACACTATATACGTGGAATTAAATTATTAGCCTAGTGAGACATTGCTCTTTCATTCTCACCCTTTTAAAAATAAATATTCTGTAAACCTTTTTAGAAATCTCAACACTTAGGAGTATGGCAGAGCAAAACTCCAAATGAGCACAGTTTTCTGTTTAATAGTACAGTACATAAAAATTCATGCCATTAAACATGAAGAAGCCACACTGAAAGAGGGCACAGGGGCCAGCTTTTGAGGAAAAAGAGAAAATGAAGTAGCACAGTTTTTCATTACTCACTTGTTTTAACATTGTAACTTGCCACCCACTGCAGCAAATGTTAAAGGCAATTTAGATTTATGGAGAACAACAGAGGTGCTTACAGAAAGATTGTGGGTATTTTGATGTTTTTACGAAATTGAACACAACTTCTAGTAGGTATTCTGTGTTTTTAAATTTGTAATTGTTTGTTATTAATTTGATGATATAAAAAACCTTTCTATAATGAAACAATATAATCAGACTCTTGCATATTCAGCCCTGACTAAAAGATGATGCTTTTAGGTTTTTTGGTAACATTAATTTAATATCTGCACAGTTTGAAATTACTAATTTGTTTTTTTTTAGTACTATACGACAAACTCCATAGCGTCTGACAGGAGAGTTAAGACCCACTCTCTCAGACATCATGACAGGCATGCAGGTTGCCAGGAATTTGCAAGAAGTACTTAGCCATGGGCCAAGGGAGCTATAGCGAATTAAAAGAGAACTCAGAGCTCATTCTTTTACTGATTGAATCACGCAGGATCAAATGTGTGAATCATCATGAGTCAGATTTTATTTCCTTTATATCTACCATACATTCCTTAAAGGAAAGATGCATAATTATAACTCAAACTATTTAGTCCAAACCAACATCTGCTCACCTACTGTACATTTACCAACAAAACTAAACTTGACCTTGAAAATAATTTCTGTTCTTTATATTCTGTACAAGTTTTTGTATAATATTGAACTATAAATTGTTTAAAGGCCTGGTCTGGTTCATTTTTCTCTGGCTTCTCTAAACCCTGTGGCTTGAAGTAACATTAGTCAAATATAAAAAAAAATAGAACTTGTTTGCCCTTTGAGAACAGACTCTTATAATAGTAAAGTGAAGCAAGTCTCTGGCTATTTTCTTAGAATGTAGTTTGTTTTTTTAATGGCAACCATTTGGCATGAAAATAATCCTCATATGTGTGCTGACATATTTTGCAAACTAGGTAGGTCTTAGATATTGTCTCCATTTTAAACTTGTTTATCGTTATCAGCAGGAACACTGAAATTGTCCACTGAACTAGCTCCACCACATCTTTGCATGAAAATGGACATCTGCCAACAAGGTAACAGCACACAGGAACAAAATGTGGAAGGAACAGACTTTTTTTTTAGAACTGGGATAGACACAAATGTATATGCTGCGCATCCCTAATAATTTTCTGTTTCTTTACAATCATGTAGATCAGAAAATCTCAATGCAGAAAATGTTCAGAAGGAACATTATTCTCTTTATAAATGAGTGCTACATAGAAAGTTACAGATTTACATCATCATCTGGTGGAACACAATAGTCATTATACCAATTTATGTTTATCTTAATGGATACCATAAATCTAATAGCTATATCAAGCAGGGTATTCTGACATGATATATTACCTGCTGTTTAGCAAAAGGAAAAAGAAAACTTAATGAAAGCTGACAAATTGTAGGCTGTCTGCACTTACGTCTCCAAGTTATCTCCCTCTAGGACAGTCTGGACTGGTAGGTAGCCAAGTCGGGGATGTTTGGCAAAGTACTTTTTCGATCGGAATTTGTTTTTCAACACCTTCGTAAAATCTCGTACATCTTCCCCAGAAGTTGTCTGAATCATAAACAGAATTTATTATTTTTATTAGATTATGCAAACATTCAGCTTATATTCATCAAGAAGGCTAAGAAAAATTATGATAGCTGTAAGGCACAGCTTTACGTTGTTGGAGCTGCTGCTCAAATCTTGGTGTATTGCCAGAAAGCTGAAGCCTGAAAGGAATTTGAATGAAAAGGAATCAGCATCTCCCAGCATTTAGCAACCTTAGTGTTAATTATAGTGAACCTTAATGTTCTCACTACTGAAAATACAATTGTACCAACATTGAGCTCTAATTTAACTAATGACAAATTTTAATGATCTTTCAAATCTCATATTTTTCATCATTAAAAATCTCAAAATAACCTGGATGTTTAATTAAGGAATATGTTAGAGCACTGAATTTAATGAAAGTCTGAAAAATGAATAATACTTGCTGAGGCTGAAGGAACAGTCTGTAATGACTTTGCTGAACCCTTAGGTCTCAATCAACTTTCCATGCTTACAACAATATACCCATTTGTTTGACTAAAGCAATTATGTATCAGAAACCCCTGTACTTACTGAAATGCCACCAATAAACTTTATGCATTTCATTTTCAAAAAGAAGGTTATGAAATCCTTTGCAATGTGGAAGCCTAAAAGTCCCTTTTCACTATTTATATAAAAATGAAAAAGAACAGAATCCCAAGGCAACTTAAGTTGTTGATTTCATACGCCAGTATTCCAAACTTTATCAGTGTATTACAGCAGCTCACTGCATTCTTCAAACAAAAAAGAAAGCTAAATGTATGCTTTATAATTAAGAAAAATTTAACAGACCCATTTTAACATGGAAGCCCATGAGTACAATGCATTAAGTACAAGGAAACCACACACAGAAAAGCAAAAGAAACTGATACAGTGACTGGGAAGACAAGTATGGACACAAGCTCAGAGGATGAATCAACTTGTGTGAACCCTATGATGCACATTGTCTTGACAGAAAGCAATTGGCAACAGAACTTCAACTGATTAGAAAAGAAGGAGAGGAAGAAAAGCTGAGAAAGGCATTTACAGCAACCAAAATAATTTCCTGCAAAACTCCAATTCTCAACATAAAAAAGGAGTTTTCGTTTAAAGATGAAAAATGGTCATTTTTAGTTTAAAACAGGAAACTGACAAGAGCTCTACATCTTTGGTAAAAAGAAAACACCACTACAACTGAAATAGTGGAAGATGAAATAACAAAACTCTAACCTGAAACCTGAAACCTGAAAACCTGAAAAGAGTTTTCTTTAGGAAGAAATAATACAACAATATGTTTGAGACAGTTTTGACATTAATTAGTACACAGTGAGCAGGATGAGCAAAGTTGTATACACAAACAATACAACAAAACTAAAAACTGAATCCATGAGCATGGACATGGACATACAATTGAGATTTCATTATACATTTCTGTTAACTTAAAATACCTCCAAAATCACTGAAAGGTACAGAACGTGCATGAGAAGGGGAGCCTGTAGCTCAATAGTCTTTCATTCTGCTCGTTTAAAGGCATTATGGGATGATGAGCAGGTGACCTAGGGGTCGATATCAGTAAATACTTTTGTTTTATTATGCTTGTCACCAGTTCCTCATACCAGTCTATAGGATGCTCTGAATGATCTTGAATGGCCTGCTCAGTTTCTCCGAGTTACAGACCTACTGTACATCTCAGGATGTAAAAGGAAGAAAAATAACAGTATCACTACTTTCCCACTTAACATCACATCATCAATTAAGTTAGTTCAAGACTGCTCCTAGAATACTGCCATCAGAGATAATGAAGTTCTGGCACCAAAGAGAAAATGAAGTAGCACAGTTTTTCTAAACTGAAAAAGAAAGTGAACAGGAGCTCAAGAAAATATGAAAGAGAGAACTATAGAGAATAGCAAAAAAAAAGAACACAAAAGTTTTGCATATTAAGATTTTGAGACGTTTTTTGATAAAGCATAAAACTATTAATTGCAGGTAGTAGACTTTCAAAATAATGCATGCACAGTACTTGAATTCCAAAATTGGTTAATAGGAAACAGAGAGTACAGATGGGTTACATGCTCAAACTGGGATGATGCAATTAGTGGGGTACCACGGGGACCTACATTATGACAACTTCTCTTCCAAATTTATTTAATGACCTAGATATTCTGGTAAAGCTAGCAAACAGAGCAAATGTTCACATATGTTACCAAACAAGGATGTGAAAAGAAATTCAGATATGCCAAAGAAATTATTTTTGAACTTTTGGACTTAAATAAAAAAATGGGTAAACACCTGGCAAATTACAAAAAATGTAGACATTATTCTACATAGAGTGTTACATGGATTTAAAAAAAACATTGTGCTTGAAGAAGAGAAGAGTATAAATAAAAGAGCTTTTTATGTTGATACATCGTTTTCATCTTCCAGACAATTTAGGGAAACAATAAAAAGACAAACAGATGATTAGGATATATAGTTAAAAGCACAGAATTAAAATCCAGGGACATTCTGATAAAACGGCAAAATGCACTAGTGAGATTTCATTTATGATATTGTGTATAATTTCGGTCACTAAGATACAAAAAAGATGCTGCTGATCTGATATCTGATGAGAGAAGAGCAACCACATACATTTTGAACCTGGGATACAACAATAGGCTGAAGAACTGAACCTTTTTAGTTTTAGGGAGGACTATGAGGAAACCAGATTATAGTATTCATAACCCAGAAAGGCATTGACAAAGTCAATCTAATGGACTTCTTCAGAATTAACAGGGGACACAACGGGAAACTACATGGAAATACTGTACACTAAAAACAGAGAACAGAAGATGCTTCTTTACAGAAAGGGCTGTAGGAATGTGAAACAAGCAACTCATATGATTGAAGCTGATATCCTGACCTTAGCTTTTGAAAAAAACAACAAATGAACTAGATGGGACGAATGGCCACATCTCATTTGTAACCATAACTACACACTTGAAAAAAAAATATCCATTTTGGATTATTATGGGACTGAATAAAAAAAGAAAGTTGATTAATCAACAAGAAACTAAATTGTTCAGACTAAAAAACTTCCAAGAAATCACTATTAGATTTAGTCAAATCGGGATATACCAGAGCTCCATCTGTGGAGTCTCTTTCTGATCTGCTATGTTATGTTAGTACAAGAGGGAGACAATTACTAAATCCAACTTAACACTTAATGAAATATTTAATTTCCCAAGGTCTTTTCCCATCACAGCTATGACCTTTAAATCTTAAATAAAACTGTTAAGCAATTAAATGCCTTGGGCAGCTAATGGGTTTAAATGAAAAACCTAAGACATAAAAAGTTAATTTTTTAAAGACCGTAATTCCTGTGCAGTGGAATAGAAGGTCGAATAGCAGCTGGTCTGCACCTAATCACTAATTTCAGAGAAAATATAAGCTATTACTCAAAGGTATAATAAACCTCTGAGGTTTGTTTGTAACAGCATGGGAGGGGATGTTGGCTCTGCAGTGCATGAGAGCAGTGTTGCAGTGAGCTCTTGACAGATGGAATAATGTGGACTACATTTCCCTTAAAACAACCTGGCTGGACTAAGCTGAAATGATCGCCATTTAAAGAACTTTCTAAATTTAGAGACGGTTGAAGAATCTGCTGGACAGCAATGAAACAGAAAGAGTTGGAAAGCACAAGAAATTACTGAGTACAGGGACTTCACAGCACTGCTCCAGACAACATACTTTTGAGAAAAGGGCAACCCAGAGATAGATCAAAGAGGGCACATCTTTGAATCAAATTAAATAAGTTATCAGTTCTGTGGTGTAACATTTTTGTAATTGCATTTTTTGCACACAACTGTATTTTCCCATCCCACAAAAGTACAGCACTTTTAAAGTCTTTTTGACTGAAATATTTATATTCAAAGCTTAACCAAAGAAAAATAATCAAAAAATGTTTTCACCACTAAAAGTTATATTTCCTGTTGGAAACACCCAGGCTTTATTTTTGTACATCATCTAGGTGACATCTACAAAAGAATGTTCTATATCTGGAAGGTTATGTTCACGATCAGATAAAATTCAATAAAAAACATATTTCCTACACCCACACTAAGATTTTCAAGGACCTAAGAATCAAGCATCATCTTAATATCATTCTATCATTTTACCTGGTGCATGCACTACTTACAGGAGAAGACATATACAGCTTGATGAACTTTAGAATTGCATACATATAATGACTAGAGGCCTAAATGTACATAAAATTATCCAAGCACTCAGACGATCAACTCTAAACATGTACATTAAGTCTTCAATTTCAAAACCTCAAACCAAAAGCACACCCTAGAATTCAGTCTACTTGAATCTTGTTGTGATAAACACATTCTGCTAACAACTGCAGAAGTATTTTTTTCAAATCATACGGTGAAGTAGAATCCCTGAAGAAAATATGCAGAAAGAAAAGGAAGAGGAAGCAGAGCCATGCAGTGGTACTCACAGGTGTACAGTATTCCACCATAGGATAGTTTAATTTATGGCCCTTTGCTGTGCGTCCAGAAAAGAAACAGCTCTGGCAGACATCATAGTTGAAGTGTTTTAGGCTGCGGTACCTGGAGAGACAATTTACCACCAGTATGAACATTACTTTGACATCAGACAACGTTATGTACAGTAGCACTTTTTCACAAATGTGTACCCATATTACAAAATGTACAGTATACTATTTTCACCATATAAAAATAGCAAACAGCTTAACTGAGTTCACCTATCAACAGACTACTGACTTTTTTTTATTAACAACCGAAATATTAACATTATGAGAATTACAGGGTACTGCATGTCTTGGGATAGCAGATTTTATTTATAATTATATTCTCCATTTTCAGAATATGTTTCTATAGTCCTTTGCCTCAAATGCACGTTTTCAGGTGCTGCCAACAGCATTTAATGAAAATGCATCTCAGTGGATTTACAGTACCATCTTTAGAGTGTTTTTAAAGAGTTTTTAAATAAAGAAACAATAAAACACAATATTGCATTATTTTCAATGCAACTTTCTAGGAGCTCTGAAGTTAAGCAAGCACATTAAATATTAAACATAGGAAGTAACAAATTCAGTGGATCAGAAAACACTTGTGGTCAAAATTAAGGGGATGCCTGGACAATGTCGCTAAAATATAATTTAAAATTGAAAAGTCAGCATATGAGTAATTTAAAAAAAAAACATATCTTCAAAGAAAATGCTTAGCCGGCATTTTACTGCAGACAACTTTCCAAAAAATATTCGCCTTGGAAAGTGCAGACAGCTCATAAACTAGGCAGTACTGAATCCAAATCATCATCTATCATAGATCACTTCTAGAATATTTTTTTATGCTAGGGGACATATGACACCAGTGCAATTTGATGTTTAACATGTTTATAAAGAAAATGATTAGTGCATATATACAGTATATTCGGATCATCGTATAGTTTATCTTCTAAATTGCTTTAGCTTTGTCCTGGTTGAACTTCAGTCTGGGCTTTTGTAGTCTTGACTCTCTTAAGTTCCCTCTGGAACTCAACTGGTGAGGCATTTTTTAACTTCTCTACCTTATCTGCTATGTACTTGGGCACGTCGTGGCTTCAATGTCACCCATGTGCTTATCCACATTTTAGTGGTGGATGAAGTGGGTCCTCTTGTATGTAAATACTTTGGGATATAAATGTAATTAATTCTTTAAAATATTTAATACTATAAAAAGTTCAATGCAAGAAAAGACATTAATTTAATCCTCCTCTAGAAATTATAATTATGGTAGGAATTTACTGTAATTTTTAAATAAAAAAAATGGCAAAATATAGATCAAATGTTAAATAAGTAATAAAACATTTCTACAGCGCTGATGATTTAGACAACCAGTTACAATACCAGTATTTTACAACTATGATCTTGCCCATATCAGGGCTGTAACTAACTTAACACACAGCCAGTTCACAGCTTTCACCATTTTAGATGCAATTTATCACTGACAGCTCAACAAAGGTTTCTGTTTTGTCAAATGTCAGCTGAAATTACCAAAAACTTCAAATGAAGGAAACGATGAATATATGGTCAACTGTTTCATTTCTAAAGGGTAACAAGGACAGGCGCAAGGGAACTGCAAAAAGAAGTGAACCTGGTGATCATCTGATACTTTCATCTTAAAAAGGTTTGTCAATAGTTGCTTAAAAAATAAAACTTCAAATTGATATAAACATTGGTGTGAATTCCACATACTGTATAGATATCCACATTCAATTTTTACGAGAGAAATAAATAAGAATGCCCCCAAAGAGCAACAGACCACATAACCAATTACTGTGACAACGTGGTGTCGGGAGGCAACAGCGAAGACTTTATGGCATTTTTTGAATGATTTTAGTTTAAATGTTACAATAAAGGGAAGCTATGACATAGGCCATAAGCCTTGAAGAATTTATATTTCATGCCACTCTACTAACTGCTGACATTAAAACATGCTTCATTCATTATTGTTTTACTACTTGTGCCAAGATGTTTAAATTCTTTCTTTAATCTTAAAACAGATTGGAACTTGTCTCTGACCATGCATAATGTCTGTTCAGTATCTTTTCACTGTAACCTCTGTTTTATAGTGTGCTTACTTTCTGGGGCACTTCTTCAGAAGTATAAGAATAACAGGCATGATGTCCTTTATGCATAAAGCCCAGCATGTAGTATGGACAATTTCTTCATAAAAACACACTTTGACACAGTGGTTTGTATAATATTTAATGTCAAGTTAGTAAAGTCTCTGCCTCTATCTGAAACATACAATAAGAAAATAAAAAAGAGTCCCACCTGAAGCCCACAATGGGGCACTCTTTACAGATGTTGCACTTGGCCTGATGTTTTGCTGTTTCTGCAGCAGCAACTCGGTGAAGCACAGGGAGCCACACCATAGATTGAGGCTCCAGATGCATCCAATCCACAAACTGCTTGGGCTCTATCTCCACCCTATTATTGACCTGGAGAGAAAAAAAAGGGACATAAATAATCTTGTTGTTGACACTGAAACATAGAATAATACCTGTAATACAAATCTTGAGGCACATGCAAGCAGGATCTGTATTCTAGCAAAGATCTCTGCATCCTTGTCTCAGATGAAAATCAACTGAGAAACATCCATTTTTGTTTTATAGGCTGAAAACAAAAATCTAACCAAAGTTTGATATCTTTATACATTATCTGAGATTTACAAATGTCTGTAACCGTAGGTCTTATATGAATTTGCTGTCAAATTTGCTTTCAAAATTAGTATGAACTTTTTGCTAGCGATGCAAGTTTCCAAACTTTTTAAATTAAGGTACTGAAATACTATTTGGTAATGCAGTATCTTTTCTTTTAATTTAAACTTAAAAGAACAAACACTGCATTACACTGTTAATGATCAATATTACACTTTACTAAACATCAACAACAAAAGAGCAAGTTGTAATTATCAAATGGGTAATCTAGACCAAAAAAAAATGTTTTTGAATAGCTTCTTGTAACTTTCCTGCTTTCTCAGTGTCTACATTAATTTAACACCTTTTATAAGTGAATGTTACTTTGTGACTTTGAAGAAGTGAGTATATCTTGATTTAAACTTGTGAGGCAGTCATGAGAAAATGCTATAAAAATGAGGAAAAGGTGGGTGCACAAAGAAAAGAGTAATTACTTAAAGAAGCCATTTTTGCAGAGGAATAGGTAATTATTTAATGAAGCCCTTTTTGTGCTGTACTATACAAAAAGTAACTGGGAAATGTGACTAAGAAGCTACACAACTACTGAATGCTTGTTGGATTTTTAAATAGATCAAAATAAAATTCCATTAATTTTTTATTGGTTTCCGACTTGCAAAGCCTTAAACGCAAACCCTATTACCAGCATTTATTTTTATTCCACGATTGTTAATTGTTACAGCAGTTTCCCTCTCCCCTTGTCCCTTCTTTTGATTTGACACATTCGCACTTGAATGTTTACATTTGGTTCCCTGCACTGGTATTTCTCCTGTTTTTAAACATACGTGCTGGAAGCAGCTGCGGACACTCGGCTCGATGTTGCTGCCCCCAAAGGCAGCCACCTCGCCTAGCTGCCGGGGTATCTGGATGGCATCATGAAGGAGCAGCCCCAGCTGTCTCTGGTCACACATCTCAGATGGACCAGCAACCTGCTTGAAAAGATCTGTGCCAGCGCACAGCAAGAACATCAGTACAAGCTATAAACTCTCTCTATGACAGCTTTAATTCTTTACAGAAAACTCCACCTATTCACAGGTCTTGTCTGGCCTCCATATGCATTATAATGTAAATTACAATTTTAATTGTAATATTGAATACATGACTTACTGAGTTTCGGTGGAATACTGGTTTTAATCATTCAACAATTATTTAATTTACCTTTGATAAAATCAATGCTTTAAACTTTTACATACTTATAAAACTGAAATGGCAACACTAAAAAGTAACAAACAACTGGCTATAAAGACAATACACTAAAAGTGCTAAAGCTTAACAGTTTTAGACTGTCATTCTGTAGTTTGCTACTTTCTCTACTGTCTGACATTTGCTGAACTATGGTGTGAGCCTTTCAGAAACCATTTTTGGGTTTATAACAGAAGCAACAGTAACCAAGCTGCTTCTTAACAGTGATGCAAAAATACAAATTCCTAATACAAGAAATTGTATATGGCCAATTCGTCAGGAATTTACTAGGAGTGTTGGAACTGAGACTGTTTTTAAAAATAATGGCTTAGGTATTATTGAATTTGGTATTAATTAATAACTGTGACACATGTGATTAAAACCTCAATTGTGTAGCCCTAAAAAGCCAATTGGAGATCTAGGATTATATAAACCTGCATTATAAAATCTTCTTACTAGACAGGATGCAATCAAATACTAATTAAGTGTTGATTTTATTGCTTTACATTAAAATATTTAAAAACAGTATACAGCTCATTCACATTTTATCCAGATATGAAACATTAATAAATAAAATGTAAACAAATTAATGTCCTATAGAAGTTGTCACATTAATATAACAAAACATAATGTGTATAGAGTAACTGTAATAACAAGGACATCCATGCACTGTATTTGAATGAAGGCCTGGAAACTTTTGTAAGTATGACAGCATCCCTCCTTTAAACTCATTTTTAATAATCCCATGTGGGAATGTGATTTTCTGAACAAATTTGACTTGATTAAGTTCTTACATGGCTACTTTGCAGAAGGTTACTTTACAATACACCCGTACTGATTTTACATGCTATCTCCCCAAGTGACAAGGGCTAGTGGAGCATTTAATTAATATTCAGGCTAAGCCTATGGATAAGCAAAATGACTTCTATGGAGGCCAACACTGATCTAATTACTTAAAAATGTTAGTTAACAAGTTCAGCAAAAACTGTTTTATATTTACACTGTAAATATGTATTTATATTTACTGAAACACTGCTACAAACAGGATCTTTGTCAAAATGTAGGTAATCAAAGGATTTTTAAAATATAATGTTAACCTTTATTCGAAATAATCATTTCATTCTACTGCAGCATTTTCCAACCATTTTCCCCCCAAGATGACCCCATTTAGCAACCTTCAGAATGATGAGAAGACATGAACATCTTTAAAACAACATCTGCCTGTCAGAAACATGGCATTCCTTTATAATGCCATTATAGATTATTAGTACGTTTCTTATCATCATCTTTTAGTACTGATATCGAAAATAAAACCAGAAAAAAAGAGCTGTTTCTCTCTATTGCAAAATGAAAGAACAAAGGTTAAGTAAGTGTGCTTTGGCTATGTAAAGCCTGGATGAACAGTGGTCATTACAAATATCCATTAATTATAAGGCCTCTGTTACATGAACTGAAAATTGTAGTGTTACAAGATTTGAATGACTGAAAGCCTGAGTCATCTGTCATAATCTAAAAAATGAGCTCATATTCAGGGCTTAGCCTTGGTTACAAGGACAACTCTTTTACTAGCAACAAATCACTGACAGCCATTACCGATGGGTCTCCTGCTCTGATGAGGTGGTCACAGAGGAGAACAAATCTAGCCGACAAAACACTAACACTGACAACACACCAACAGGAACAAAGAAACTACTTAGACTGCACTGACACACGGCAAAACAACTAAAAAGACTAGCTACTGCTGGATTACCAACATCAGCAATTAAAAAAGAAAAGAAAAAAAGACCCCTGATATCTTTACACTCAGTGAAGTAGAAACGGACAACTCTTCTCTCAACTCTTAATGTACAATATTAAAAAAACACATATATATATAGACTTATGCATTATAATCAGATATGTATTAAACAAGATATAAGATAAACAGCACAGTTATTTAGGGAAATTATTTAATTCAAGGGTTGGCACTATCATACACATATATAATACATGTACTGTATATATACATTTCTAAATCAATAAAATACATGTTAAATATAGAGCTTAAAGGCAACAACTTTCATATTATCATATTATTTTGGACCAACAGTAATTGGAAACAAAATAAATATACTCAAACTTAATCTCACTTAAGAACCTGTGGGAGGTCCCACATACAATTTCCAGATCCATTAATTTCCACTCTTCAGTGACATTAGAAATCTGGGAATTAAAACTTAAAACTCCATAAACCCAAACCTCAGAACAAGTCTTGAAAGAAAAGAGAAAAATTATAAATAAATCAATAAATCACTCAAACTGAAAAAAATAAACTCATTTATACTTACATTTATATTTTTCTTCCAAATGCCCCTTAGAAAGAGACAGAAGTCCAATTTTCATAGATAATACTCGTATCTTCCCACTCCGACCGCTACAGGGAAAAAATGGGAAACAATAAACTCAAATAGAAAGTGATGTTAATCTCCTACAGACTCATTCAGCTACTTGAACATAATTCACTTCTTCAGAAAAAATTGTTTTAAATTTTAAAAGCATTTACGGAAAAAATGTTTTTCTTTATAAATACCTTGGAGGAGATAAACTTTGCAATAAACTACGAATAATGCTGTGGGATTTCCAACAGCATTCTCAGAGGTTTCAGGCTCCTCCTGTAATTTCATAAATATTCTCTAGAGGAGGTACAGTATGTATTTTTATTGCTTCTATAGTACAAATTGTAAATATTTAATGCCAGCTGAGCTCTCATTACAGACCATCTCTAATATTGAGATAACATATTAATCAAGTTTCCAAATTATTTTGGAAGAAGAATGCCTACAGTGGGCATTCAATTCAGTAGGGACTGTTTTCAAACTGAAAGACTGCAGATACATTTTTAGCTTGAACTTTCAGAAACTTTGTTTTGCTCTATTTTTTACAGTACTTTGCACTTTTAATTTTCTGAAGAAAAGTGACACGAAAGGCACATTAAATGGTTCCCTGAAAAGAACCTTTGCTTATTCTTAATATCTCATGATCATTCCAACTAACTGGAGAAGCTCTGTCATGAGTCCTGTGATTGCCCATCAGTACTGACACAAAATACTTGTCCAGAAAATTGCCTTCTACATGTACCCCTGAACCTTGAACTTGTTTTGAAGAACATGCTAAAAACAGACCTGTACGAAACTCTACAATTTTCTAAGGTAAATGCAAGAAGCCGCAAAACTTACGTATCATACACATTGAGCAACCAGTTTAAACACATGTCAACACAGAGGGGCACATTAACAAGATCCTTGTGGTTCTGCTCCAGCCCATCATAAATTGTGGTCAAGCAATTGATAACATCAGGGACATTTAGAAGCTGGTCGTTTTGGGTGAGTTTGTGCTGTTCAAAAATATTCTGCGCCACATTCAGGTCCAGCAAATCCACTGAAAGGAAACACAAAATTGAGTTCATTTAAAATGTGAAAATCCTTCCAAGAAATTTGAAAATGTGTATTATATAGAATGAATGCTATGACTGAGGGAATGTGAAGAGGAACTACATGTGGAAACAACAGTATAATCTTTCATGGATGGTACAATCACTATTCATTAGCTGTAGGAGTGAAACAGTTTAGTTTTATTTTATTTAGTTCAACAGAGTTTTCAACTTATCCATTGCTTTAAGGATCAACATCTTTCAGGGTTACATTAAACTATAGTAAATCAGCATTGTTTATTTGAATTCTAATGCTCTTTGAAAAACATAACCAAGAATCCACAAACCTGTGGCACAATGATTGATTGGCATTATGTAGTCCCTGAAAGTTGTTTGTGGTGTTATTTATTTTAAATTGGAAAAACAAGCATTCTGCAAACGTTAGTTACCACAGCCAATACACTCCTCCCTAATTGGTAGAGATCATTTAAATGTACTGTACAAAGCAGATAAAAAAAAAGTTGCTCACACATGTTTCTAAGCCTACTTTTACAAATCTACAAAAAGTGAGGCTTACAAAAAGATGCCACAACAGCTGAAATGAAATGCCATTTTTCTTTCCTTGATATGGCCTTGTACAGGTAAAACACATGAGGTTCAACAACTCAGAACACAGCCTTACAATCCTCTGTACCTCATCACCACAGGAAAATTCCTCCAGTGGAGGATTTGCTGACCCAGAACCATCAACACTACATAACCCCTACACATGAAGCTGAAGCAAAGGATAATCTCATGGCCTCCAGACAGAACAGGTTTTACAATAGTTCCAGAAGGGAAAGAAAAGAAACACAAGGCTGGCAGCTCTAAGTGAGCAAATGTCAAGCTGTGGGATTTTATAGGTTTCTCCCTTGACAGCTATAATACAATGTAATCCAAACCTCCAGCACCTGTTGCTTAATGACACTTCCATAGAAGCATAAAATTTGATCTGACTTAATACCCCTTCAAATGAAGACCCCCTTCCTAGAGTACAAAAAATTAAAATAGACAGCTTCTCACTTTCCATTTTACATGATTACATTTCCTGAGCTACTGATAAGGTTAGTAAGATCTGCAGACCTAAGGCAAACTGAGCCGGGTTTCAGAGCTGGGCTTAAGAGGACCCTGACAGCCAGACTGCTTAATCTTCAAAGCATGATGTTTTCCAGACAAACATTGAAAGTCTACTGAACAGCAGGAGGAAAAAAAATAAATGCAGCAACATTTCCACAGCAAAGAAAATATATTCAAGGTGAAGTCTTTAATGAGGAGTCAACGAATGCTTATTACATTTATTTAAGGAATCAGAAATGGTGTCATTTTGTGTCTTTTTCACCAGAAAGCCCAACTTTACAGCTCAAATGTTCATAATAGATTTTATTATACTTGAAAGACTACAAACACACTATTTAAGCACTTGAGTCAAGCCTTGAAACCTGAACATTCTTGTTGGTCTTTTCACAAGTGTGACAGAAATTAAATGTTAAATTTGAAGAGATATGTGACAGTTTTGTCAACCTCACGCAATGAAAATTACATACATACTTAGTATGTGACATCTGAAAGCTTTGATTATACTCTGGTGACAAATGACAAGGAAGTAAAGCAGCATCATACTGTACAATTTTTTTAATAATGTGAACTGTGAAAAATGAACAGTTTTATGGGGTAAAAATATCATGTTCACCACTACTTAAGAGCTGTGGAGCAAGCTAGCATTGCCATGGCAGCCGGCCATGCCTGACTCACCTGTCAGTCAGAGATGATTGCTGTGGATATGCTATCAGACAGGAGACCTATACCACCTGGGGCCAATTTATGTCCACCACCGCCTCTGGTAGTTCAGATTACTTAAGGTCTTCTCTGACTGTGCTCTGCTTGCTGGTATAATGTTTTTCCTGGATCCTCTCAAGCTTTTTGTCCTCTAGTTCCTGTGTTACCAACCTTGTGCTTCTTTTGGATTCCTGACTTCAGTGAATTCTCTTCCATGCCTTTTGAATTCCCTCACTGCCTTGATACTATATTTATTTGGTGTCAAACTTTGCTCTCAACTACAGCCTTGGATTCTGCTTGCCTACCTGTTTACCTCACTTGCCTGTTCCCTTACTTGCTATACACAACGTGCTGCCTCCACACATCAGCTTGCACATTCAATACCATTTAAACTCTTCTCTCACCTGCTATTGTGATTCCCAGAGTTACTATTTTGAGAAGGAACTGGCAGCAATTACAACTGAACCTCTTTGGATATGTCTTCACCATGTTTATAATTTTCTGTCATGTTTGTTGGAGATCACTGATGGACAGCAAAATTTTCATGTCTTACCACAGATTTTCTATAGGATTCAAGTCAAGGACACCCAAGAACACTCACTCTCTTCTTCTACCAATTCAATGTAGCTTTTCCATATGCTCTTTGTCATCATCCTGCTGCAAGGTTAATTTTTGTTCTTTTTTAAGTTCTTTAGCAGATTGTAGTATGCTCTAAGGTTTGCCTATAATTTGCTCTATCCATTTTCCATTCATGTAACACTTTGTATTTATACCAAAAGGTTCCATTTTGTCTAGTCTGACTACAAAACCTTTTTACACTTCCATAGTATCACTTCACTTCAGTTTATTTGTCATACCTGCATGCTTATCACTTTACTGCATTGCTGGGTCTATTCATAATGACTTGTTTCTTATCACTCTGGCATACAAGACAGTATTGTGGGTATACCCCAATATTGTTGACTCATGGATATGCAATAGAACTAAGTTAACCTTTAAACCCATTGCTATTAAACTGCTTGGATAACTGCTTGTTTGAGCCTATTTATTATATTGTGCACGTATGTAATGCATCTCACACACTGATGACCCAACTTATTTATTTGACTTTCTAAATTGTGTGGATTACTTTAAGCTACTAATTTGTTTTCTCTTATTTCGAGTATAAGAAAGCACCACTTTCATTTTTTTAGCTCCAAACTGACAATATCTGGCATCACATCCTCTCCACCACATGTTAATACTACATCTCCTCCCTGCATGCCTAGTTTCACTGGTTCTCCTCTTTCTAGTTTCTCTCAACATGACGCTGCATGCTAAATTGGTATCGCATATGAAATGCATTACTTGTTTATTAGATTAAATTTCCATTGCTTTATTTCAGTCCTGTTTTTCTGCCCTTTACCTTGCTGTCCTCAACATAATAAACACACCCTTGAGTACTGGAGTGGTACCAATGGCCTTTAAAAAAGCTAGTTACCCCAATGCCAAAATGGCTCTAGACTTCCTAAGCAATTTTTGCCCTATATCCAACCTACCATCTCTTCCAAATATTTTGGAACATTCCCTTATAGGCTAGGTTTTTAGATCAAATAGTATAAATTGTCATTCCTGTACTGATGATACTCAACCTGACACTGAAGTGGCTGTCTGCACTAATCGTATCTCTGACATAAAAACCTTGATGAGTCAGAGTTTCTTCATTTAAACCATGACAAGACTGAAGTCATGCTTCTCAGCACCTCCCATCAACTATGTAAAGCTAATGCAGTCACTTTATCTTTGAACCTGAATTTCAATATAAAGAAGTTGAGAGTGATTTTTGTCCCAGGCTTGACATTTGACCAACATATGCAAAATATTGTAAAACCATAATTCTTCTACCTCAGAAATATCACCAGATTATGTTCTATGTTGTCATTAACTGCAGCTGAAAAGTTTGTCAACACATTTGTCTTTTCTAGAATTACTCTAATTCCATACTCTCTGGGGTATCTAAATCTACACTGAAAAAAATTCAATATGACAAGAATTCAGCACCCAGAATCCTGACCAGGTCATGTGCAAGCGATCACATTACTCCTATCCTGGAGTCTTTCCACTGGATTCCTATCAGGTTTTGTGTCCATTTCAAAATTCTCATTCTCACTTGGAAGACTCTACATGGCTTGGCACCTCAGTACCTGTCTAATGTACTATCTTCCTACTACCCACCTCGCAACCATTTTTCATCTAATTCTGGTGTCCTGTCTGTTTCCCAAGCCTATCTGTGGGTGACACTTTCATATCAAGACTCAAAACCTTATTTTTCAGAAAGCCTTTTATTTAATTGGTTATATGTCAGGTTCTTTACATTCATGCTGCATTCCAAAACCTTGCTGTAATTGTATTACTTCTGCTGTCTACTCTCTTTGTGTCCTTTTTTTCTCTTACTGTAAAGTGCTTTGAGAAGCCACTTTAAAAGGTGCTATATAAAATAAAGTTTATTATTAGTGATGTGAAAGAATATTTGAAAATAATTTAACCTTTTGTCTAAGAATGTAAATATACAGTATGTCTACACGTAGAAGGAATTATAGCACAAATTAAATTAATAGGAAAGAACATTATATAGTCAAATGGCTTACTATTTTCAAGTTCTTTTATACATGCCCATTTAAAAAATCAAGACGGCAGCAGATGCAAACTACTGAAGCATCGACATCTCTGTTGTCCATCTGTGCTATTTCTGTACACTCCCTTAAAGAACATACAAAGGAAATGACAAGTCTACTGATGTTCTGATCTGAAGTACAGAAATAACTTTACACAATCAAAGGAATCCATTCGGTGGAAGTGATTTTTCTGAGTAAATTAAAGTCAAAAGAAGACCACTGAATGTTTACATAGAAATGCCTGATGTACAGTAGGAGCTACAGAATTAAAGAGTAAGCTGAAAGCTGACTGATGGCAACAAAGGTACTGTGCTCTTTTTCTCTTGATCACAGAAACTAGCCTGAGAAATGACACCAGTCTCAAACTATATATGAATGAAAGGGACCAAAGTGAAAAGGACATCAAGGCAGACTGCTGCAGAGACTGACATATGAACAAAGAACATCTCTACCTGTTTATTTTAATCTATGGTTTAGTTCTACTAAAATTTAGAATATTTCCACTTAGTCAGATAGATATTAATGGACTTTTTCTTCCA